AACAGCGTAAAACGCCACCTGGTTATGCCCCTGGTGATCCATTAATGAAAAGTGCCCTGTGGGAGCTAGATGAATTGTGCTTTTCTCTCTCTAATGAAAATAGTATCAACAATGCCCATCACAGGCAGGGATCCGCCTCTAACGGTCATCTGCTCAAGCATTCCACAGGATCCCAGGACTAATTAGTGTGACCTTTGGTTACAGGACCACCTCTAGAGAAGCCTGGAGGGTCTCGTTAGGTTCCCCTGGATGCTGCTCTGAAAAGGACACAAGTACTGCAAATATTTTACAATGCTGCCAACGTTTTATAAAGCACCTGTCACTCTGGAGCAGTGTTCCACAATTCCAGCATACACCCACATGTCCGGGAGCTAGTTTGAAGGTCAGCTCAAGAGGTCACAATGCCGGGTGCTTAAAAAAAAATCTTAGATTGATTTTGTTAGCTGAGCAATTCTTCATCACTAACCAAGAAAGGATCACCCATGTGACTGCCAATGCCACTCTGATCTAATGAGACAGGTCCTCAGACCCCCTGCTCAAGCCTCACACTAGTTAATTTATTTCTACAACCCAAGCTATGCCCCCCACTCGCTGCTCCTATTGGTACCAGCTTTCTTTCAGGACCCACGCTTCCATCGTCAAATACACAACACAACTAGGATGAACGCTGGGCGTGGGGAAATGTGGCTTCAGTCTCTGCTTTACTAATCCCAGACTAAGTCCCTGGTCTCCACCCTGCCACCTGGCTTTTGGCAAACGTCACATTTAAACACCATTCAAAGGCAGATGCAGCAAACATGGTTTATAACAGAGTCTGGCTGAACGGTGATAATTTGGCATTTAGATGAGGATCCCTCCCAGGAAGTTGGGCATGCCAATGGGATCTGGATAGCTAAATCATGGAAGCGCCTTCAAAAAACCCATACTGGAGGCTGTTAAGAAGTATTTAACATCATAAACATACACGGTACATTACAGTGCTAGGGAGAGACTCTCTCTGTAGCCAATGTAACAGGCTCAACCAGGCCCTGGAGAAATCTGCAGTAAACAGCTATGCTGCATTTGTGAACGGTTCCTTCTGGCAGCTCAGCTCCATGCAAATGGCAGAGGGGGATATATTAACCAGGGTGGAGGGGGCAGAAAGAGAGCAGGTCTGTTTTGGCCAACCTCCATGGCAAGGGGTGGAGATAAAGCAGGGGAGGAGACAGGATGCTCACCAGGATGAGCAATCAGATTACTTTGTTATTATCTAAGGCTAATTGGAAATTAAACCAAGTGTGTAATGCAGCTAATGAAGGGTAATGTTCTGCTGCTTAAAACAGGAATCTTCCACTTACCAGCTCATTAAAACAAGCAAGATGACTGAGAAAAGCAGGTGAACAGATTAAGCAGCTCCAGGCAGATGTGGCTGGCTGGTTTATAGGCAGAGCAAGGCAGCCAATGCTCAGCAAGGAGGCTGTCCTCACAGCTCCCTCCAACCCTCCCAGATGTACAGCAGCCTCCCCACAACGGTGAAGGGGACTCATGGAGCTTCCCCGCATGCAAAGAGCTCCTGGCACTGTCTCTGGGGCAGACGCAGTGTGTGTGTTTCACTACAGGAGACGCCCATCTGGGGGTAGGTTGATAGGGAGGCTCCTGGCACTTGCATGGATACGTGTCTGAAAGATCATCCCTACAGCCACAGAATATGGACGCCCTTTGATTTCTCAGCTGGGAGATGGCGAAGCAGCCTCAAAGTATCAGAGCAAGCATCCAGATCCTTGGAGCATCATGCTGCTTACACTGGCGTGGCATTAGCACCAGTGCCACATGGACAGTGCAGCCATGGTCCTTTCCTACAACGCACCCGAATAAAACAATCTGCCTCCAGTGCAACAGGGCCAGGAACCGCCAAGTTAAATGGTCCAAGTGGCCAAACCAGGCAGCACAGATTAAGGCCCTTCGGCCCTTCATCCAGTTTATTTACAAGATGTGCACGTATGACCTCTAGCTCCAAGCCAAGCACTGCCCTGAAGTAATTTTCAATCCTAACTCCCAGTTCCAACCTTAACAAGGCCACGGACTCCCTCTGGGGTGTTGGGGAAACCTTCACCCTCCCCAGATACAGTGACTGAACATCAGAAGTGCTTGGATGGACAAGTGACCAGTATTTCATCCAATCCTGAGAATGGCTTTCCACTTCTCGGGTCACCATTACAAACCCTCGCACTTGCTTTCTGGGGCCGTGGGACCAGTTTTTTGGGCTGAGCGTGGAGAGGAGAGGAGAGGAGAGGAGAGGAGAGGAGAGGAGAGGAGAGGAGAGTGATGATGCTAGGTTTCGGCAGGCATGCTGAAGCACCCTTACTGTGTGACAGTGGGGTGGTTTTGGGGGGAGCGGGTCAGGGAGAGAAGGAAGAGGTGCTAGATTTTAGCATACTGGAGCACACTTTGTTTTAAGTGGCTCCCACTCCCTCCAGGCAGAGCTGGCATGCTGCTTTCTGCCAGACAAACCTCATGCTCTTCTCATCTCGCTTTGGGGAAAGAGGGGGCTTTGGAAGCCTGACGAGCAGCCAGATTCGCTCCCTAGCTCCAAACCTTGCTTGATGAACAGCTCTTTGCTGGCTGCAGAGACACTAGCTGGGGACGCACACGCTGATGTTAACCCCGAACCATTTGCTTCTCTGGCGTGGCAGCGAGCACAGTGTGCTGAGAACACAGAGCGCTGCTAGAAGCCTGGGATTGCCAGCGCTGCTGCGAGACAAACCCTCTGGCACGCATTACATGCTCCTAGCATACTGCCCACTAAAGCATCTCCAATCCTACTCTCAAGTATTCCTCCCCCAACCCTGCTACCAAGCTTCCTCTCACCATTTTCCCTCCCGTGCAGCTGCTCCCTCTGGTGCCATCCAATGGCAAAAGGATTAGCACTGTCCTCATGCAAGTGCGCAATCATTTAAGAGAGGCATGAGGTACTGTTCACATCCAAACAAGCTGGCAGGAGGAAGAGAAAGCTGCCCAGAAACTAAAAGAAGGGTGACATTTTCTATCACATGTATGCCATGGGGAACGTCAGCAGACTGTTGAAAAAAGCAAAATGCAGGACTATGTAGCACTTTACAGACTAACTAGATGGTTTATTAGATGATGAGCTTTCGTGGGCCAGACCCACTTCCTCAGATCAAATAGGGGAAGAAAATAGTCACAACCATATATACCAAAGGATACAATTAAAAAAAAAATGAACACATATGAAAAGGACAAATCACATTTCAGAACAGGAGGGGGATGCGGGGGGGGGGGGGGGGAGGAAGGAAGGTAAGTGTCTGTGAATTGATGATATTAGAGGTGGGGAGAGTGGGATGTTTGAAAAAAGGCCATTCCATTCCACAAAATACAGGCCAGACATCCATCATCAGGTTAGAGCTCTGATGGACATTCTTGGAACGAGCCATTAAGGTAAACGGTCCAGCCTATAACAAACAAGGAGTATATTGGATCAGGTGTTAAATTATTGCTCAGTAACAGGAAGACCAGCCTATCATGGCAGCACATATGAATATTCAATTAACCTTTATAAATATTCAGTGCCTGCTATGATCCACGCTTCCCCTCTCCCTCATCCCCACCCATTTAAAACCAGCACGGTGTCCGATTTGCATGTGTCAGTTAAATGCAACACAGCCAAGTGGCCGATTTCTTAGCTTCCGGGCTCTCTGAATTATTACATCATTAGCTACACACTCCTGCTTAGTAAACCAGTGGTGGATAGCCTGTGGCCCATGGCCGCATGCAACCCACCGGGGTTCTTTGTGTGGCCCACAAGGCATTTTGTTTACTGTTGCCCATGCACAGGGGCTGCC